GGCGCGACTGAAACAAAACCTCTGCTCCTCCCTGGACCAAAACTTCCTCCAAAAAATCCCTTTTTCCCCATTTCCCACCCCAAAATCGAGCGGAATCCTCGCCGCCCTAAAATCGGCGTTTTGGGGTTTTTTCTCTACCCAAAAGATAAAAAAATCCTGATTTTCCCAGCGCGCCTTTGTTGTTGTTGTGTGGGGTTTTTTTAGGGGAAAATGGATTTCAGGGAGGATTTTTTTGGGGGAAAAAAAAAGGGGAATTGGGTGAAAACTCCGCTGGTTTTTGTGGGGTCGGAGCGGATTTTGGGGAGGAAAAACCCCAAACTGAAATGATCCCATAAATTCCCTTCCCCCTCCCGCTCCGCCCAACCCGAACCCGCCAGAAAAAGGCGAAAATTCCCATTTTGAGGCGCTTTCGGGGCTTTTTGGGGCCGGGCTCGGGACTTTTTTGGGTTTTTTTTTTTAAAATCCCGAAGGTTAAATTGGGATTTTTGGCGATTTTTGCGCCTTTCCCGGGATTTCCGCGGGAGGAGCCGCCGGGATTTTCCGTCTGGGTGGGCGGGCAAAGTGAAGGTCAAGTTAAGCTCGGCCTAAGCTGCGCCCGCTCCGTTTTTCCCCTTTTTTCCCCTTTTTTTCCCACTTTTTCCCCATTTTTCCCCTTTTATTTTAACTAAAATCCCTTTCCCACCCCCCCGCTTCCCACCCCCAAATCCACCGGGTCGATTTTATGGAAGATTTTCCCTCCAAATCCGGATTTTTCATCTTTTTTTCCCCCCCTCCACGAGCCTTAAAACCAATTTTCCCTGTTTTTCACACTTTCCCCCATATTTTTTCCCTTTTTTCCCCATTTTTCATCTTTTTCCCCCTTTTCCCCCCCATTTTCGCCGCCGAGGGGACGAAAAACCAGCAGGAAAATCCAAATTAAGGTTAAAACCCCGAAAACAGCGAAATTCGCTCGGTAAGAGAGGAAACAAAAGGGGGCGGAGGGAGGAAAAATCCAAATTTTCCCTCAAAAAAAAAAACCCAGAGAAAAACAAAAACCTTAAAAAATTTGGGATTTTTGGGAGGTTTGGGATCTTTAGAGGCGGCGGAAGAGGGGCAGGGAATGGGAAAATTGGGATTTTAGGCGGATTTTGGGGATTTTTGGCTCCGGGGAAGAGCGGGAGAAGGGTTTGGGTTAAATAAAGAGAATCCAGGGAAATCCGGGAAAAAATCCCAAAAATTCTCCCCAAATTCTCTTTATCTCCCTCCCTTCTTCCCCGCAGCTGATTCCACCCCAAAATCCGGGAAAATGGAATTAAAGTAAATTAAAACTAAAATTAAAACGGAGGTGGGGCTCCGAAAATTCCCAAAAATGGAAAGAAAATTCCCGAAATCCCCCAAAAACGGAAGGATCGGGACAAAGCTCGGCCGGGAGGGGAATTTGGGGGATTTTGCCCCAAATTTTACCCCAAATTTCTCTCTCCGGGTGGGCCGGGGACAGAAAATGGAAAAATTCTAATTTTTGGGGTTTTTTTTGTTTGATGTTTCGAGGATTTTTTTTTTTCTTTTTTTGGGGGGATTTTTTCAGTCTTTATTTTGAACTTTTCCCTCTTTTTTTGGGATTTTTTTTCCTCTATTTTGGTTTTTTGGGCTTTTTTTTTCTGCCCTTTGTTTCTCTTCTCGCCCCTCCCCGAGGTGCGACAGCACCAAAAAATGGGAAAAACTCCAATTTCCCCCCAAAAAAACCCAAATATCCCCCGATTTTCACGCCTCAAAAACCAAAAAAATTTAAAAATAAAATTAAAAAAAAATCCGAACTCAACCCGCGGCGAGGGTGGGGGAGCGAACAAAAAAAAAAAAAGCGATTTTGCAGAAATTTGCCCAAAATTCGAATTATTTTCGGGAAATCCGTGCCGAAGTCTCAGCGGGATGGGTAAAACGGCGAGAAATGGGGGGAAAAGCAAATTTTTGTGGTAAAAATGATGAGTTTGGGGTTTTCACGGAGGCACCCGGGGTGGAAATTCGCTTTTTTAAAAAATAAAAATGGGAGAAAAAGAAGGAAAAGAGAGAGGAGGGGAGAAAAGAATAAAAAATGAGGAAAAAAGGGATTTTTATCCCATTTTAAATGAGATGAAAGAAGGGAAAAAAGCCAATAAAAGTTTAATTTTGCAGGGGAATAAAGAGAAATAAAGAAATCAATCAAAAATCTGATTTTCGAGGGATTTCCGGCCCTAATCCCGGGGATTTGGGGTGGAAAATGCGAATTTTATTGGGAAAAGGGCGCGGGAATTCACTGGGATCCAGGCATGGGTGGGAAAATGAGAATTTTCGGCTTTTTTTCCCAAAAATTTATCCTTTGAGAGGTGAAAAAACAAAAACAAAAACCAAAAAAACAAAAACAAAAAAAAAAAAGGATTTTATAAGAATCCCGAATTCCTCGAGTTTATAAAAAAAAATAAAATTAAAAAATCGGGAAAAAAAAACAAAGTAAAAATCCCGAATTTGGTTCCCAAATCTTCATTTTGGGGCCATTCCGCCCAGATTTGGGGTCGCGGGTTAAAAAATCCAATTTTCCCCCCCAAAATTCCCGATTTTTTCTGTTTTCCCCCCGATTTTGGCGGCGCTGCCGAAGCTTTCCCGAGGAACCGCTGGACAATAAAAGAAAAAGGGAATTCCCGAGGTTTCGAGTGGTTTTTTGGGGATTTTTGGGGGTTTTGGGGTTTTTTTTTTGGGGTTAAAAGCGGCGGGATTGGGGAAGGGGGGAGGGGGTTGGGCTTTGTTTCCTTCCCAGCCCAAATTCCCCCGAATTTCACCCGATTTCCCCCAAATTTCGCCCTTCGGAGCCGGGCTGGGGGATGGGGATGTGGGAAAATGGGGGAAAAAGGGGAAAAAAGGGGAAAAATGGGGGAAAATAGGGAAAAAATGGGGGGAAAAGGGGGGAAAAGGGGGGAAAAGGGGGAAAGGGGAAAAGGGGGAAAAAGGGGGGAATGGGGAGAAACGGGGGAAATGGGGAAAACAGGGAAAAATGGGGAAAATGGGGGAATGGGGGAAATGGGGAAATGGGGGAAAAATGGGGAAAATGGGGGAAAACGGGGAAAAATGGGGAAAATGGGGGAAAACGGGGGAATGGGGAGAAACGGGGGAAAAAGGGGGCGAGGGGGGGGGGGCGGGGGGATGCGGAGAGGGAGCCGAGGGGCTTCGGTGGCTGCCGGGGAGCCCAGAAAGGGATCGGGGGGAGGTTTCCGGGGGTGGCGGGAGGGGCTCGGGGTGTCGGTGCTGGGTTTTGGGGGTGCTGAGCCCTGCGGCCCCCCCAGAGATGCCGCCGGACGCCGGCCGCAGCAAGATGCTGACGGGCATCGGGGGCTTCGTCTTGGGCTTCGTCTTCCTGGCGCTGGGGCTCGGCTTCTACCTGCGCAAGAAGGTCAGGCCGGGTGCCGGGGCTCGCGTCCCGCCCGTGCCGGAGCGTGTGCGCTCCCCCCGGGGCCCCCAGCCCGGCCTCACCCCCTTTTCTCTGCCCGCAGAGCTCCTGAGCCGCCGCCGGCCGCAGCCCCTCCCCGTGGCCTCGGGCCCGCCCGGGACCCCCCGCTCCGTCCCCCCGGCCGCTGATTTTGGGGGGGGGTCCCGAGGCCCCCCCAGCCCCCGGAGCTGCCGCTCTGCCCCAGCCCAGTGCCCGCTCCCAGTGCTCCCAATAAAGCTTCCCAGTTGGCCTCGGGGCCGTTTATTGGGGGGCCATGGGGAGGGGTTTGGGGTGGGGGGAGATGGGACGGGTTTGGGAAAAGGGAGGGGGACAAAGGGTGGGGGCTGGGCCCGGGGGAGCGGGAGGAGGAGGAGGAGGAGGCGGAGGAGGAAGGTCAAACAAGGGAGAGGAGGAAGGAGAGAGGAAGAGGAGCAGCCGGAAAAGGAGCCCGAGGATGAGGAGGAGCAGGAAGAGGAAGAGGAAAAGGAGGAGGAAGAGCAGCAGCACCTGAACCCCGCGGTTCCCACCCCCCCTGAGGAGCCGCAGCCCCCCGGCCCCTTCAGCATCGCCCCCTCCCCACATCCCGCAGTGATCCAGGCGGGGGAGCTCCCCCCAAATCCCTCGGGGGTCATCGAGCCGGGATTTTGCCTTGGGGAATTCGATTCCGGAATCGAATCCCAAAATCTCTGTGGGTTCCTGGGCGGGTTCCAATCTTGGGAAGGGATGTTCTGACCTTGAGGGACCCCCAGTGTTAATCTGGACTGAATTTTTTGGGAATTGGGGTTTTTATTGGCACGAAACCCCGGGAGAGTTCCAGAGCTGGACCTGGGCTGGAGGAACCCCCCAGTGCAAGGCGATTTAACCTTGTTAATCAGCTTTCAATAATTTAAAAGATATTAAAATTTTATATAATTGAAATTTAAAAAAAAAATTATTCTAAATCTAATTTTTACATAATTTTATTATAATTTCAATAGCAGTTAAAAATATCCTTAACACCGTCTTTAGAGAAACTGTTTGTAAAGGGGAGCGGGACAAAGGGATCAGAACAAAAAATCCTGAACGACCTCAGCGGGGACACACTGGGATCAGCTGGGGGCACTGGGAGAGAGACGGGAGGGCTGGGGTGGGCTGGAGAGCGATTGGCAGTGCACTGGGATGGACTGGAAATGGCTTTGGAGCGACTGGGGTGGCACTCGTAGGGATGGGACAGCGTGGGGCTCACTGGGAGGGAGGTTGGTCATCCGGGCGTGAACGGAGAATAAACTGGGAATGAATGTGGAACGTGTAGAGAAGAGGTGGGAGGCACTGAGGAGGCACCGGGAGCCACTGGGATGGCACTGGGACGGATTTTTTTGCCACTGGGAGGGACTGGGGATGAATTGTGCGGCAATGGCGGGCCGCGTCGAGCACGGGGCACTCGACACTTCATAGCCAGGCACTTTGCCTGGCAACTGATGAGTCATCAGAGATTCGAGAGCTCATTGGCTGGAAGGTGTCGGCTACACCGACGGCCGGGATGGGCACGCCGGGGAGGCACTGGGATGGACTGAGGCAGCCATGAGAGTTACCGACCAGGCCAGAAGGTTCCAGAGATGGGCACAAGGAGGGCTGAGAGCTCTGGGGCGATGCCCAGGGAGGTTTTGAGGGGCTCCAGTGTGATTGGCAGGGCAGAGCCCGAGGGGACACGCTCTGCCCCGCGCTCACCTCGGCGCTCCGTGATGAACGGGGTGTAAGTCTTGTACCAGAAACGGCAGAACCAGTCCACCGCAGTCCATCTGTGCTCCATTAATTCCGGTTTGCTGTTCCAGTCCCTGGCACACTTCTCCCCACGGGGGGTGAACCCCACGTAGTGCCCCACGTCGCTGTCGAACATCGCGAGCTGCTCGCGGTTGTAGATGTGCCTCAACAAGTACCTCACCTTCTCCGTGCCGTTAGTGAAGTGACACTCGGCCTTTGTCATGTGGTAGAAGCCGAGCCCCAGCGCCAGGAAGACGAAGCCCAAGACGAAGCCCCCGATGCCCGTCAGCATCTTGCTGCGGCCGGCGTCCGGCGGCATCTCTGGGGGGGCCGCAGGGCTCAGCACCCCCAAAACCCAGCACCGACACCCCGAGCCCCTCCCGACACCCCCGGAAACCTCCCCCCGATCCCTTTCTGGGCTCCCCGGCAGCCACCGAAGCCCCTCGGCTCCCTCTCGGCATCCCGCAGCCCCCTCCCAGTCGCCCCCCAGCGCCCCCAGCACCCCCAAAGCCTCTGGCAGTCCCTCGGCAGCCCCGGCAGGACTCGGCCGGAGCCCTCCCAGTCCGTGCCCGGCACAGCCGAGCTCCTGCCGAGCCCCGCTTTGCCAGCGCCGATCTCCTTCCAGCCCCTCCCGGCTCCCTGCGACCCATCCGGTCACACCCAGCGCCCCCAAACTCCATCCCAGTTAAACCAAGCACCCCCAAACTCCCTCCCAGATCCCATAAGGACCCCCAAACTCCCTACCAGTTAAAATAAACACCTCCAAACTCCCTCCCAGTCACATCCAGCGCCCCCAAACTCCATCCCAGTCATTCCCAGCACCCCGAGAGAGAGAGAGAGAGCGGGGACACACTGGGATCAGCTGGGGGCACTGGGAGAGAGAGGGGAGGGCTGGGCTGGAGAGGGACTGGGATGGACTGGGAGGGACTGGGGATGGACTGGGATAGACTGGGAAGGACTGGAAGGGATTTTTATGGACTGGGAGGGACTGGGAATGGGTTGGCAGGGTACTGGGAATGAACTTTGTGGGATTGTGAATGGACTGGGTGGGACTGGTGTGACTTTGAGAAAGATGGGAGTGCAGGGAGGGCAATTGGAGAGAGGGTGGGGGTCTGTGAGTGAGCTGGGGGTGGAATGGGAATGGCCTGGGAATTGACTTGGAGGGGCCGGGTGGACCTGGGAGGGCCTGGGAATGGACTGGGAGGGTCTGGGATGGACTAAAATGGATTGGGATGGACTGGGAAATGAACGGGATGGACTGGGAATGAACTCGGAGGGAATGAGGAGGCACTGGGAGAGCGGGTGAAGGTCTAGGAGTGAAGTGGGTATTAACTGGGAAAATAATGGGAATGGACTGGGAAGAACTAGGAGGAAATGGGATGGCACTGAGAAGGATGGGAGGGGATGGGTGGGCACTGGGACTGGAGGGTGGAGGTCTGGGAGTGAACTGGGTATTAACTGGGAACAGATTGGGACTGGACTGGCAATTTACTGGGAATGGACTGGGAATGGGCTGAGGATGACTGGGATGGACTGTGGTGGCACTGGGAAGAACTGGATTGGCGCTGGGAGGCAGAGTCCAGCTCGGGGCACTCGGCTCTGCCGGTCTGCCTGGCAACAGATGAGTCATCGGAGAGAGGCGGGCTGATTGGCTGAGAAGAGTCAGCTTCACGCGTCGCTGAAATGGACGCGCAGGGGGGCACTGGGGGGTACTGGGATGGACTGGGAGGGACTGGGAGGGAACAGCAATGGACTGGGAGTTACTGGGTTGGACTGGGAGGGACTG